TGAAATCACTTGAAAGATCGGAGGAGGCGCGATGAAAACCGGACAGAATTTCGACTCGAGAAAGCGGATTTTCTCGGGATTCTCGGGAATCTCAGGAGCACAAACGACCATTGGGACTTGAGCAATGTGACCGGGACTTCGGGACAGCACGGGTACGGAAAACGAGGCAAAAACGCAAGAGAAATGAGAGAGAAAGGCCCTTTTCTTCGGGACCCTCGCATCCCTTTTATAGGGGGTGTGAACCGCCCTCGTACGCGGGGCGTACGGGCGTACGCTGGGCGTACCCGTGCGTCACGCATGCGCACATCCTCGACTGCCTCGGACCTCCGGATGGGACTGGACGTGGCTTCGCATAGGGTACGATGTGGACGATCCGAGGCCAAGGCCTCGAGTACGCTGGGCGTACCCATGTACGCTGGGCGTACTCGCGTGACTCAGCCTTCGGATAATACCGAAGTTTTCATTAAAATTTATATATTTATTATTTAATAAACTTCAAAAATTCATATCTTCTTCATACGAACTCCGTTTTCGATGTTCTATGTATCCATGCGTAGGTGAGACCATACTCTACAACTTTCGTTTAGATTCCGTCGGCAAATTTTGAAATTATTTTTATTATTTATTTTTAAAAGGTCACGGTAAGAAAATTTCTTTAAAAATTCATAACTTCATTATCTGACGTCTTCTTTTGCCAGACTTTTTACCATTGAAAAACCATTGACGAGACCTTCGATTCTCGTTTAGGTCATTCTGGTCAAAAGTTGTTCGATCTCTGTTTCGAGTTTTTTGCTGTCCGTTGCTAAGCCGAACTTGGAAAATTCTTAACTTTCTTATACGAAGTTGGATTTGGGTATTGTTTTAATGTACGATCACGGTTTATTGACATCTAACATAATAGGTAATTTAATTAGTGATTTATGGATATTTTATTTTCGAAGTTAAATTCATTATAACGAACGTGGTTACAATACTTGACTTTTTTGGATGTTTACATATAGTTGAAATATCGGGTTGTCACAGTGCTGAAGGGGAATGGTACTGTTTTACTTGTACTAAATGTCAACAGAAAGCCGTAAAACAAATTTTAATCCATGATGATCAGTTTCAAGATAAACAAGTTTTTTATTGTAACACTTCAAGCTGCATGAACAAAGTCATTTATGTTGTTCCCAAGTTTTGAAACTTATTTTAAAAATATTATTATATTATTCTGTTAAATTACATAAATTTATGTTACTAAATCTGTTTACATCAATGCTTTCAGTTTGAAAATCATCATTATAGTTGAAGATATTACGGGTTCGGTGTCACTTACTTTAATTGATTGTGACGCAAAGAAGCTTATAAAAAAACGCACTAGAGTTGGATCATCAGTTTTACGAGGTTAATGATATTAACTTAATTTAGATAAAACAACTTTATTATTTTATATATCTATTTTTATAAACGGTCTTTTTTTAGGATGGTGATAACGAAATTTATCCATCTGCTCTGAATATCCTATTGGAAAAAAAAAGATGGCTTTCAAAATTCAAATTTCACATGACAATTTGAAGAACAAAGTTGAAGGTTATGTTATCTCAAGGATCACGTCTAACAATACAATCATTGATGAATTGGAAAAAATATTGAAAATTGATCGGGTAAAATTCTTTACCATCAATACTATAAACAATATACTTATTATCATTTCAATTCGCATGTCATGAAAGATTAAATTTCAAGTTTTTCTAATATAACTATCTTATTATTTATTTCTTTTGAAGTTATCATTATTGACTTCTTAACTAATTATTGAAATTCTTTCACGAACATCATTACAAACATTTGTTACTATACGTTGTACAAATAAATCTTATGGAAATCTAACATCTAACAACCATGTTCTTGATAACTACAAGCGTCGAAATAATGTGGTTTGTGGAGTTATCACTCAACAAAAAAAACATGGGGAAATATAGAGCGTCAGTTTGTTCTGTCTTCTGCTAGCAACAATGTTGACATTGATTGGCTACCACATACTTGTACGATTTTAGCATCATCCTTGTGCGAACTCCTTCTTGATGAATCCTATGATCCAAATGAATACATATCAAATCTTTTATTTGTTTTCAAACCAACAACTACAGATGCCAAATGGATACTGTTTCTGAGTTCTGAATACACTACGATAAAGTTTGCTTTTGTAGTTATCAGTTCAAACCCATTACATTTCAAGGTCATTCGATTGTCATACACAATGCCATCGTAAGAGTTTATACGTAGTATAATTTATGTTATTAATTTACTTTATTTTTTACTTATATGTTATTTTGTTTGTAGTGATATGCTTAAGGAAAAAGTGGACTACGATTACTACAACATAGAATTGTTTTCATCTACTACATGGCAATTGAGGAAGTTTTAAAATAGCAGTTACTATCATCTATTTATGCTGTTTCTGATGAGGCAGTTACAAGTGGCGGTGTCGTTTACTTCTTATTATCTAACGATAACATATTGCGATTTGATATTTATTCAGAAGAACATATACTCATATTTGCACCTTCTACTATTAATGACTTCAAACCGTATGCATCGAGGCTGATCAAGTTTCACGGAAAATTGTGATATTTCTCTATAATTGGAGATCGTTTGTGGGATATTTGGGTTTTCATGCACAATCGGTGGGTTAAAGTAGATGTTATTACTTACAATGAAGGTGCACATGAATTGTGGGATTATAGAAACAATACCCTATATTTCTTTAAAGGAAATACGATTGCGTATGTGTTTCTGGCACATCCTTCTCAACAAGTTTTTTCAGTCCGTTCTAATTTTAATACAATGACTATGCCAAATAGATATTTGTGATTATATATATATATATATATATATATATATATATATATATATATATATATATATATATATATTAATTTGCATTCAAACATAGTTGTTTTTTGTAATGAAGTATTTAATATTTTATATTACTCTCTGATTTATTAGTTTTTTTTATTTATTCCTTTAATCATAAACTCATGTTTTATTTTCTATGTACAATACAATATTATAATAAGTCAGATAAAATTCAAGTATTTGGTCATTGTTATGTGTTCAAGCATATTTTTCACACACAAAAACATAAACTCTATATTTTTAGATATCTTCTAATACAAGGGTAGTGTTTTATTCTTGTTTTTTTTTCTTTTGCAATCAACATTCTTTTTCATTAATTGTATGAAGGGTATACAAGGTATAAGTTTATTTTTCTGTTTTTTGGTTAGAACTGGTAGTTCCTATAACGATGAGGTTGCAGGAGCAACTTTAGAAGTATAACCACATAAAATAATTACCAATTTACCCTTAAGAAGTAAAACTCAACAATAATATTATGGAATGACAATAATACAACAAATCCATAAAACTACAAACAAAACTAATGAATAAGTTATCAATTTACCATTTATAAGTACAAGTTGACAATAATATCCCTAGAATGACATTAATACATTAGATGCTATTAAACTACATATATTGAACTACCATTGTTGCCCGTATAAACAAACTTAAAATTCACTTATGTAAAAAATGACCAACACTTTTAACAACATACCTATACACACACTTGTGACATGGGTCTTTTCATCATTTATTTATATTTCATCAGAAATTGCTGCATATGGCCACAATCAATCAATCATGACTTGGATCATTTTTTTTTTTTTTTGTATTGTGATAGATTAATTCTGTATACAATTCCTCTATTGTAAATTACCTATTCTATGTAATTAAAATGAAATAGCAACCTACTTTCATTTGTTTCTACATCCGTTCCCGAAAACAATATTCATTTTTCATACTATATATATATATATATATATATATATATATATATATATATATAATATGATATAAAATAATAAACAACATAGTAAAAAATTTATAAAATAATAAAATAACAAAATAAAAAATGTATAATTATCAAATTTAAATTCATTTTATTATACAAAAATAGATTTAATCGACTATAAGTAAATAATACTAATGTATTCCATATATTTAGCATACAAGTCGTTTAACTTGAAAAAGATTAGCATGATCTTTAATTTTTAAAAATATATTGAATGTTCCATTTCTCAACTTTTTGTTAGGCTTAAATTATGAGATTATGTGGTATAATATATTCAATCTTATCTTTAACTTGGCAAAGATTAGCATTATTTTTAATTTTTAAAAATATATTCAAGATTCCATTTATCAACTATTTATCAACTTTTTGTTACGCTTAAATTATGGGATTATATCGTATAATATATTCAGTATTATCTTTAACTAGGTAAAGATTAGCATTATCTTTAATTTTTAAACATTTATTGAATATTCCATTTATTAACTTTTTGTTAGGCTTAAATTATGGGATTATATCGAATAATATATTCAATATTATCTTTAGCATGTTAAAGATTAACATTTCTTTAATATTTAAACATATATTCAACATTTCATTTATCAACTTTTTGTTAGGCTTAAATTATGGGATTATATTGTATAATATATTCAATATTATCTTTAACTTGGTAAATATTATCATTATCTTTAATTTTTAAAAATATATTCAACATTCCATTTATCAACTTTTTGTTGGGCTTAAATTATGAGATTATATCGTAATACTTTTTTTCACTATATCTCATAATTATCTCTAATATTTTTCTATTTCTCATAGCACAAGCGAAATGACACATAACAGTGAAAGTGAAATTGTCATTGATAAGCTAGCTGACATAGATGCCTCCAAAGAATCATGAAATATTCGTGTTCAAGTTGTCATGATTTGGAAACAGACATACAAAAACAACTCAAACATGGTCAATAGCTTGGACATGATTTTAATGGACCATGAGGTAAGATTAAAATAATATGAAAAAAACTTATGTTTTATTTTTCTTTCATATAATTATATTCTTTATCACCTATAGAGCACTAGAATACATGCAATAATAAAAAAAAATCTCATGAATGCATTTCAAGCCCTCCTAGAAAAAGGAGCTGTAAGGCAAATCACTAACTTTGGTATGGCTAGAAACGAAGGAGATTACATGTTGGTTGCTCACAAGCATAAGATAAATTTCTACAAAACAACCACAATTCGTGTATCAATTCCTTTTCTTGATAGGATTGATCCTTTTAATTTTTTGAGTTTTTATGATCTGATAGCCATAAATGTTGACACTTTTGTTGCATTTGGTGAGTTTTTTTTTTCCCTTGAGAGTTTTGTATTTATTATATTACATATTTTTTAACCAATTTATATTATAATAATTGATTCAAATTTACTTTTTGTAGATTTTATTGGTCAAGTTGTATTTACTAAACCCATGAGAGTGATCAAGGAGAATGCAAGGGAAACAAGGCTAATGAGTATTATTGCACAAGATCTGGAGTACTTTTCTTTATTTTTCATTAATTTATCATGTTTAATATTTTATTCATATAACCCAAGCAATCAATTATGGTGGTTGGAAAATACAAGTTGCTTTGTGGGATGGTTTTGCATTGAAGTTGAACAACTACATATCTGAACATCAAAATGAAAATGCTCCTGTGATCATCCTCATACGTATGGCAAAGCTCAAGAGTTAGGGTGGTTAGAATAATTATTTTTAGATGTCTATGCTTATTACTTTAATATTTTATTTATAATATGAAATAATCTATTACTTTAATTGCTATTTATAGGTTAGCTACAAGTCGGTAACTGTTTCTTTGGGTTGAGCTAGATTGCATATTAATGATGATATGGATCATATTTCAGAATTTAAAAAGGTGTATGTATTTGATGACTATGATATAATTATTTACTATTTTATTTTTACTTATTCTTAATCAATAATTATTATTGTTGTTGATCTTCTTCATTTTTCCTTCTTATATGTAGGATTGTTGACATTGATTTGAATGTTGAGTCTTCCATTAATACTATATAACTTAACACAAAAATGTTGTGGCCAAGCCAGAAGATTACTACCTCTGTTTTCCAATCAAAAACATTGATGATATTCCAGATTACAATGAGGTATACTTAATATTATTCATATTTTCCCATTATATATAATATTTTTTTAATGTGTGTGTGTGTGTATATATATATATATATATATATATATGTATGTATGTATGTACGTATGTATTTTTACCAATTAGGAAATTGGTTTGTCTATCATTGCTACTATAATCGTTCTCGTTTTGGAGGAAGGATGGTATTCTTTTTATTGTCATGACTGTTCAAAAAAGGTAACTAAAAACGGTGATGATAATGATGGTGAACCATTTAATTGTAATGGTTGCGGAGGAGTTTCTGATGTATTCCGCAAGTAAGTTCATAATTTTACATTTGTAAACTTCTTGTCTCATGAATCTTTATTACAATGTTTCAATTTTTATTTCTTTGTCCATTAACGTGTCATTCAATAATATTTAGGGTAAGGGTCGTAATACGTGTTCAAGATGAAACTGGGTCTGCTTCTTTTGTATTGGTTGACCGTCATGTTAAAGATTTTATTCACCGCAATAATCATTGGTTGATGGAAAAGAAATCAAAGGTAGCGTTATACTATACTATTCTATTAATTTGTACACACGACATGTTAGCTGTATATTGCTATTGCATTTTATTTTAATCGAGATTTATTAACTACTCACATGTTTTATTATAATATTCTCTAGGATCAAGGACGCCAAAAGATCCTCGATTAGTTCAATACCATGCTTAATAGGAAGTTTGTTTTTAAAGTTCAGATTTCAAAGTTTAATCTCGAGAACATTTATCACGCCTACACCGTTCATAAGATGACTGATGATGATCTTGTAGTTGGTGCAGTTTTCAAACATTCACGTGCATACGAAGAAAACAATATTCAGTCTGATGGTACTCGTATCAACACGTCTATTAAGGTAAAATTAAGTTCATATAATTTAGCACTTTAACATTGTTAATTGTGACGACCCGAAATTTTCATTCGTACAAACCCTACAGTCAATCACTTCAATTAAAAGTTAAATACTTTTCTGCTAATTTTTAGTTGGTTTAAAGTTAGTTTGAGTGTTCTAAAGCCTAGTATTGCAAGAGATAACTGGAGAGAGGATACTTTAAGGTAATGTGTGCAACATTTAGGTTCCAAAACTCCAAGAGTTTGGAGTTTACGACCCAAATGGTATGGGGTCCGAAAACCCTAAGAACTATATAAGTGACACTTAGTCATTTATTTCACTTTTTACCATTTTCACACCAAAAAGCCATTCTCTCTCAAGTAGCATCCGATTTTCCTTCTTGATCTTCAACTTTGTAAGTGTTTTCCTCCTTGATTAGTTGATTTAATTCATCATCTAGTGATCTTACAAGGTTTCATCCATGAAATCATTACATTTGCTTAGATCTTCAAGCATTCTTCAAAACACCAAGAACACCAAGAACACACACTAGTGTTCTTGGACCATAAACACCCAATCAAGCTTCTATCTTGTAAGTACACTTGCCCTAGCTTGTTGTGTGCTTAAATATTTTTTTTTACACTTAGAAAACACCAAGAAATCATAAGATCAAAGGTGTTTACGGCACGGGGATGTTCTTGGGCTGTAAACCCTTATAAGTGGGGTTACATGAACCCTAGTCCCTTCTTTGGCCTTGGACACTAGTCTAGATCACTTCCTTGAAATGTTTAGGACCTTAAACATCAAAGAAACCAAGTCCACATAGAGTTTACGACCATAAACTCATAAGGAAATGGTCCTTAGGCTGTAAACTCTATAAAGGGGTGATATTGTGCCCTAATGCTTCCTAAGGCTTGGACTTGATCAATGGATGCTCAATCTTGACTTATAAGACCTCAAAACACCCAATGACACTTAGTACCATGAGTTTACGGCCGTAAAATCACAGGGGAAATTACCCTAGGCTGTAAACTCCATAAGGAGTGGTCCTTGGGCCATAAACTCCAATGCCATGCTGTGCAACCTGTAGATGCAACCCTTCGGCACCTATAACACTTGAATCAAAGCGTTTCCATGTCCTAGGGTGTCTTAACTTGGTGAATTAGTTGTTAAATGACTAATTGGATACATATATGTTTCATTATATGTTAACTAGGACCATTGTGTGTGTTTAAGTCTCCACCTGACACCTAGCACCTTGTCCAACACTTCTGTACAATCCACTCACAACAGGTGAGTTCATACCCCTTAATTAACCTTTTAAATGTTTTTAAATGCTTTTATGGCGGGGGGGGGGGGGGATAAAAGTTGAATCATATTAGTTATTATATCAATCACATGTGATTAATAACTAGTACATAAATGGATTTACTATGCTTTTAGCTGTTTTACCAAGCATACTACTTCAATGACTTTCTCAAACGTTTTTACATGTTAAACTCTTTATCAAACTGTCTTACATACTGTATCTTTCCTTTCAAACTCAGTTACAATTGTGTTTCAAACAAAGGATTTATTATACTTTAAACTGTTCTTATCAAACAAACTGTTTTCAAATCATTTTATAAACTGACATCAAGTCATCAATTCTTATTTATTAAACTTTTCAAAGGTTTTACAAAACTTCTTTTATACTTTTATATTGTCAATTGCATGCCTATATATGTATAATTATATAAGTAATGTTTAAAGGACTTATGCCTGCTAGCTCACTTTAATTCATTTTCCTTGTTTGGATGTGGCCTTAGACTATCTGTTATTTGGCCGAATGTCATCTAAATATTAGTTATATATTATGTATACATATATAGACATAAAAGTTCTATCAATCAGTTCAGTACCTTTGGGTAGCAAATGAATACTTTCATTCATTCTTATACATACATTACAAGTAAACTATAATAGGTATAGTTTAGGAGATTCTATTTACTATTCCTAGTACAATTGTTAAGAGCATGTCTAAATATGTATAGTTATATAAATAATGTTTAAAGGACTTAGGACTGCTAACTCGATTTATTTCCCTTTCCTTGTTTGGATGTGTACTTAAGGTATCGGTTAGTTGTCCGAAGGTCGTCTAAATCTTAGATATAAATTATGTATATATATGTAGATATAACTGTCCTAATCTACCAGTTCAGTACCTTTGGGTAGCAAAGGTATATGTTCATCTATATATATATATATATATATATATATATATATATATATATATATATATATATATATATAAATTCCTAGTAAGCTATTATAGGTATAGTTTTGGGTATATATATATGATTTCATAACATTAGTGTGGATTATTCGACCTAGCAATTTGTTGCGGAAGTCACCTTTAGTTCCTAGAATCTCTTATATGGAGAACGTATAGTATGGGGACTATCAATCACATTATTACTTACTTTCAGCGGGTCTCGTGAGAAGACTACTTACTTACTTTCAGCGGGTCTCATGAGAAGACTACTTACTTACTTTCAATGGGTCTCGTGAGAAGACTACTTACTTATTTTCAACGGGTCTCGTTAGAAGACTACTTACTTACTTTCATTCGGGTCTCGATAGAATACTCCTTTTATACTAGTAGAAAATATGAGATTTTCTAGGAAGTTCAAACGTTTACAATTACTTACAAACATTTTCATTGATACTTATACAAATAATGACATTAAATACTTATGAATTCACCAGCTTTATGCTGATATTCGCTTTCAAAATAACTTGTAACAGGTCACCAATAGACAGGTACGATGACCAGGTTTTATGAAGACGGAGCAGTCAAGACTCGTCCTTTATTTTGATTATTCATTATGTTGTTTTATTCTATGAAAGAACATACTTGTATTTAAAAATTATACTATTAATGTAATGGATGATGTTGTTACTTGTTTACTACTTTGCATTGTTGTGATACTTTACAAGACGTCCTCCGCCCCAAAACGTTTACGCCGTTCTTGGTTTTGGGGTGTGACATTAATAAACATTTATTCTTAATGCAGTGACAATATTAATGTTGTTAATTAACATTGCTTTATTAATTTGATAAAGGAAAAGAGTGTTTCTGTTGAAAGTGACAATATTACCGTCAATCATAAACACTTTTCAAACTAAGTGTGTATATATATATATATATATATATATATATATATATATATATATATATATAATATATATATACACACACACATCATGTTTCAATATATATAATCCAGAAATTTATGATTAAATTGTTTAATAAAGAAATATTATCTTTAAATGTTTTCAAAATCATGTACCCTTATCAATTTCAAATCCGGTCATTTAATTATATCTTATTAGTTATGGTTGTAAATCATATATTTTTTATAACTATTTTAACTTAATATAATATCAGGACTCATGTTTTCCAATTATACCCTTTTCCATATTTTGTTATGACATATATATATATATATATATATATATATATATATATATATATATATATATCTTCTAAATCACTATTTACCATTCTATATATCCTTATTAATTCTATATAATATTACGTATCATGCAAATTATGAAAAAAAAAATTGTTTCTTCAACCTCTCAATCACGAAAAAAATTGTTTCTTCAACCTCTCTTTACACTTGTTGCTGCATACTTTCATGAGTTCATCATCCATCATCCATAACAAGTTTCATTATCATTTGCAATGTTTGTTTTTGTTGTTATATTATGAATCATGTTTAGATTGGTGTTTTGAATATGTTTATCATGTATGCAAACTAGTTTATTTTTCCTTTCTTTGGTGTTAAAATATTTAATAATTCTAACTCTTCTTAATTGACATTCTGTTATCGAACATCCTTTGCCGAATGCTATTTGATTTCCGTCTTTATTGACTTGAAAACTGTTTTTTTGGTGAATGTGTTGTTTACATATTTTCCTTCATTAAAACAACAATCATGACAACAACAATTGTGACACCAGTCAAATTTAGGTCAATAATTAATTGATCAATAATCATGATTGGGATGAACCAAGTGGTAGATATTATAACAAGGTTTCCAAAAATATAAAGAACACTGAAATCCGAGTTATAACGAAGAAGTTATGACCAATCGAAAATCCGCAATAAAACCGACAAAACATTGTTTAGTGTAAAAAGTGAATTTTCGATAAAATACTTTTTAGCCTTAACAATCTAAATGAAAGTTGTAGATTTTGTTAAACCGAGAACATTCATAAAAAGAACATCAAAATCTGACTTCGTATGAGTAAGTTATGATTTTTCGAAGTTTCGGTTTAGCAGTAGACAACTAAAAATTTGAAATATAAATCGATCGATATTTAGCCCACGCAACTTAAACAAGAATCAAAGGTCTCGTCAAAAGTAGCACAACGGTAAAAAGACAGACGAAAACGGACGTCGGATGAAGAAGTTATGAATTTTTAACGGATTCCCATCCCGGTCTGTTTAAAATAATAATATAAAAAATAAATTTAAAATTTTCCGACGAAGTATAAACGAAAGTCGTAGAGTATGATTTTACCTACGCGTGTATATAAAGAACGTAAAAAACGGAGCTTGTATGCAAAACTTATGATTTTCGCAAGTTTTTGGCACAAAAATCAAGAAAATGTGGAAAACCGGGAAATTACGCTGAGTCATCTCGGACACGTCACCCCTTCGCATGTGAAGCCTCCACGTGTCGGCTACTGAATGGACCGAAGCTTTGCGTGGCGCCTTCTGATTCGACCAACTCCGCGGTCCACTCACCTTCGGACAGCCTCGCATGAGATAAACCGGAGACACCCCTCAGACACCCCCCTTCGCACGTGTCTCCTTCCCATTGGACCGAAGTCCGGTCCAATCCGAGGCCTCCATCTATCCGACCCTCGCACGTGTCCTTCGCTCCTTCCGATGCGTGTGTTGCTGACTCTTCCTTCGCCTCGCCACCTATCCTCCTCGGCCGAACCCTCGCACCCCTATATAAAGGGTGCGAGACTTCTCGGATTTGAGAGGTTTTTCACCCCAAATTTCACCATTTTTCACCTTTTCACCCCCTCGACTTTCTCACGACCCCTGAAGGCCCCGATATTGTGTCTAAAGCCTGAAGAAAGCCCCGGAGCCCCAGAATTCTCGAGAATTCATCATCTCTCCTGTCGAAACTCTGCCCGATTTAAGCCAGTTTTTCGACAAACAAACTATTTTCCAGGAAACAAAACGCTGCCCGAATTACCACCTATCAAGGTGAGTTCATACCCCTATAATTTACCTTTTTAATGGTTTTTAAATGCTTTTTAGGGGGGGAATACAAGTTTAACACAATATTAAGTTGTGTTATAACTGTATGTGATAATAATCACACAAAGAGTTTCCGTATGCTTTTAAGAATTACCAAATACATCCAAAATGACTTAAAGCCATGTTAAATCTTTAAAGTCATGTAAACTCCATTAAATTCTTTGAAAAATGTTTTATAAACTATTTCAAATTATAAATGCCAAAAATCATGTTTATATATGTATAAATATATAAATAAGATTTGAAGGGCTTAGGACTAATGAATTATCTTATTTCCTTTTCCTTGTTTGGATGTGGAGTTAAGGTTGTGTTATTTGTCCGAAGGTTGTTTCCTTCTTAATTATATATATTATACATATATGAGTATAAAATAGGTTACTCCTTTTGGTATCATTACTTATGTATCAGGCTGAGCAAAAGTGTTCATCCATGAGAAATCATGTTAACCAGATAGAACATATAAATTATAATAGGTATAATTTATGATTCAAAACTAAATATACAAGTATGATTCACATTCCAAGCAAAGTACCAAAACTTATTTAACTATACCAGGATATGTATAATTCCTTTAATATACGAATAACATATTAAAGAAGTAAAGATACATCATATCGGGTTTGCATTAACAAAGGTACGATATAGAGTACCAGGGTTAGGAAACACGGGGTAATAATACATTATATCAGGTTTGAATTAACAAAGGTACGATACAGAGTACGGGGGTTAGCAAACACGGGGTAATAATACATCGTAAATCTCGTTGAAACAATAAATTTGTGAGACCCTTCACGGTGTACTTATCTAAGTACGACTTTAAGTCGTGACCTATTAACCAGAATATCTTGTAGGGAGAGCGTGAATTTGTGTATAGATGCATATGGGACTGATAATCCCGTACCTCTACTGTTCGTTATAGTTTGGTCGGCAGGCCTAGGGTGTCAAATATCATTCCATTCCGACGCCTAAAGAACATCGCCGCAGGCATATCAGTCATATTAGTATGTTTAATAGAACTCACATGGATAAAACGAGTGAGTTACTAAGTAATATACTTCTCTTAAAACAGTAAGAAAAGATAATTACATCCCGACCAAATATACCTTCTGTAGTTTTTACTTACAGTAAAAGCTATGTATCATGAAATCAAGTATGGTAAATATACTTGTACTTCTGGTTTTGAACATTTTAAACCACAAGGCAGTATTATGGATAATATAATATTTTTCAGGATTAATACTAAGGTTTTTACTATAGAACAGATATAACTAAGAATACTTTTACAAATGAAACGATTTATGGAATTAAACCACTCTTTCAAAAGAAACGGGTTATGGGATTTAACCACTTATACAAAGGAAGCGGTTTATGGGATTTAAACCACTTTTACATATGGAATGGTTATGGGATTAAACCACTTTTACAAATGGAATGGCTATGGGATTAAACCACTTTTACAAATGAAACGAGTTATGGAATTAAACTACTTATCAAATGGAACTTAGTCATTCAATCTATGTAAACTAGTATAACATAAAAGACCTTTAGTGGTTAATTCTATAAGTCCTTAGTTATTACATAAGAGTTATGTATAAGTAATATCCGATTGACAGTGAAATTTGTGACTTCCGTCTTACTTCCTGTTTCTTGTTTGGTTGTAGGCTTAGGGAAGATACACCCATTTAACTGTCAGTTCGATATTAGGTTATACATAATTAGTATAAACTAAGTAATTACAGAGGGAAACTATTGAGGTTATCAGTTTATCACCTCAGGAAATATATGATTTTCTAGAGGAACTAGTGAACTTTTCCAAAGAACCTAGAGTATACTTAACAGAACTAAAATACTTATGAACTTACCAGCTTAAACGTTGATCTACTCTTTCCAAATAAATTGTATTTTTAGGAATCCAGCAGATAGGTACACTCCCGATGCTCTTGAGAAGACTTCCTAGTACCATACCGCAACTCTTGTCTTCTACTGTACCTACTTTGGTGTTTGAATATGTAATGTTTAAACACTTATGTAAAACTTATACTTATTAATACAATGGTTGTTTGTACTTGGATTACTATATTGCATGTGTTGTGATACTTACATTGTGACATCCCCAAAATCACGGCCAGAAAAGACCGATTTTTGTTTATGCTTTATAAAAATCAGAGTACTTCATTTTATAAAAAGGTTGCGGAATTTGTTCCCAGAAAAACATGGTAAATACGTTATTAAAATATTTTCGAAGAAACGTATTTATTTCATTTTAAAATGTTTGGGATGTCATCGTTAATACCGAAACATAAGCATAAACAGAACTTACAATGATTTACACTAGTGATCTACATCTCTTTTAAATCTCTCAGTGTAATGTCACTTCACTTCGTCACCTGTGATATACATAAACTGAGTGGGTCAGGTCTGGAAACCTGGTGAGTACATAGGGTTTTCAACCCACAATAATATAATTACTATGTTCAATCAAACA